TGCTCCTTTTGGATGTGATGTACAGAAATCTGAAAACATACTATTTAAATGTCAAAGGTTCTATACTACACTAAAGCTTTCATCCTACCTCTGTACTAATGCATTTATTATTTTTCAAAGCCAAGCAAGTTTAGGAAAACAGCTACAAAAATGGGTAAATTGTGCAATATAGGAGGAGCGACTGAAAAGTTCTCGGCCTACCCATGAAGCATTTGTCTTAGCCCAATTTTATTTTTGCTACTCATAGTACATATCTTTCCAAGGTTCCATACCAAATTTCTCACAACTAGCTTTTTCCTTCTTTCAGTTATTGAAGACTGAAGCGCAGAAGGTCATCATTGTCTGAAAGATGGAGAAAGTGAGCAGACGTGCGGTTATCCAATACCTGCTGGCTGTCGCGTTTGTTTTCAACAGTCAACATTTTCGGGACCCACCGACTTGACACCTTGTGCATATCCAGCACTACTGTTAAAATGTGTCCAACACGTTCCTGGGATATGCCAACTTTCTCTGCGATGAAACGTTCTGTCACACTCCTGTCTGCCATTTATGAGATCCTGGATTGCTGTGATGTTCTCCTCCATACAGGCAGTTGCTGGCCTTCCACTGCGAGGGGCATCTTGGACAGAGGGGTTCCCCCTCTTGAATTCCGCCACCAACTTTTTAACGGTGGAATAGAAAGAGGCATCCTCCCCTAATGTTTCCATCATGTCCTTGTGGATGTCCTGTCCACTCATTCCCTTTTTCAGCATGTACTGGATAACAGCACGTTTGCTCACTTTCTCCATCTTTCAGACAACGATGACCTTCTGTGCTTCAGTCTTCAATAACTGAAACAAAGAAAAAGCTCTTTGTGAGAAATTTGGTGTGGAACGTTGCAAAGATATGTACTATGAGTGGCAAAAAATTGGGCTAAGACAAATGCTTCATGGGTAGGCTGAGAACTTTTCAGTCGCCTCTCATATGTGAACTGTTTTATCTACTAAATGATTTGTAATCCTGTTCAGCCAGTCTTTTGATACATTTGATACAGCCGCTCCAGTCCTCCTAGGAACCTCTCTGCCTGATGAAATGTGTACATTGTAGTCTAGGATCTGCAGCAGACTAAGACTGTATAATAAAGTAGAAGTAGTAGACTCATGAATAGTGATGAGTAAATAGGTACGAAAACCATACAAATCTGCATGTTTCATGACACAGCTGCATAAATACATGTGCATTTGTGCAGAAAGACATAAAATTATCATTACCTACCTTCATGAATTATATGATTCTCCATATATTAGACTGACTTGGCTGCTAGTATTTAGGAAAATTAAAATGTGGTGGTTCAGCAAATTTCCCATATCAGTCATATCTATTGATGTAGTGTATCCGCTGCTCTGTCTATCTGTCATAATACTCCTGGTGTTAGATAAGTAATTAGAGCCTACCTGAATGAAAGAGCTGGCCCTCTCTGTCCCAGTATGCGTTCTTCTGCACAAGGCACTACAGGCAGCAGAAATCAAGATTTAAATACATATGCTAGCTGTCTTCAAAACATATTTCATTATTTTGTATTAATCCATAACTGGATTATATCTTCCTGGGATTCAGGTTTAAATCATGTTTTATTTTCCCTATGTTTACCTGCAGCAAACACAAACATGTTTCATGCAGCAGATAAGTGCACAGATGGGCACATATTGCCATATGGGAAAAAATAACCTTAAAATCCAATTAAAGCTTTGGTATTTAGGAATATAATGCAGGCAAGCTGCACATGTGGTGATAAATATATATGAGGTAATAAATACGCAATGTACATTTTTTACATACGAAGTGCTGCAGGAAGCGCTAAAATAGCCTGTGCTCTCACACACAATGCAGCGCCCCCGGGGTCACCAACGGTTTGACATACCTCCTGCACAGCACTCCAATTAGACATGTGCAGAATTGAAAATCGTGTTTCATATTGGATCGATTCATTAAGGTACTAATTATGTTTCATTGCAGTCATAACAAAATTAATTTAGTTTAATTTATTAGTTTTTGACGAGATTCAAATTTTTTCAGATGGGTTACATAGTCTGGCTGAAAAAAGACAAAAGTCCATCCAGGTCAACCATAAAAATAAAAAAAAAATTAATAAATTAAAAAAAAAGTGATAATCCTATACCCACAGTTGGTCCAGAGGAAGGCAAAAAAAAACCAGCAAAGCATGATCCAATTTGCTCCTGCAGGGGAAAAATTTCCTTCCTGATCCCCCCGAGAGGCAATTGGAAATTCCCTGGATCAACTTTATCTATAAATGTTAGTATCTAGTTACATTCTGTATATCCAAGAAAGAATCCAGGCCTTTTTTCAAGCAATCCACTGAGCTGGCCAGAACCAACTCTTGAGGGAGTCTATTCCACATTTTCACAGCTCTCACTGTGAAGAAACCTTTCCGGATTTGAAGATTAAATCTCTTTTCCTCAAGACGTAAAGAGTGCCCCCTTGTCCTTTGTAATGACCTCAAGGTGAATAACTTTTCACTATATGATCGACTGATGTATTTATACATGTTGATTATATCCCCCCTTAATCTCCTCTTCTCAAGAGAGAATAAATTCAGTTCCTCTAATCTTTCCTCATAGCTGAGCTCCTCCATGCCTCTTATCAGTTTGGTTGCCCTTCTCTGTATTTTCTCCAGCTCCCCAATGTTCTTTTTGTGAATTGGTGACCAAAACTAAACTGAACTGCATATTCCAGATGCGGTCTTACTAATGATTTGTACAGGGGTATTATGATATCTCTCTCTCTCTGGAGTCTATATCTCTTTTAATACAAGAGAGGATTTTGCTCTCCTTAGAAACCGCAGCTTGGCATTGCATGCCATTATTAAGCTTGTGATCTGCCAGAACCCCCAGATCCTTCTCCACCATTGATTCCTCCAGTTGTACCCCCCTAGTATGTATGATGCATGCACATTCTTAGCCCCCAAGTGCATCTCTCTCTCTTCTTGCAGAGAGAAAAAAAACAACTATAATGTGTAAATAAATATATATTAAAATAAAAGAAAAAATAAAGAGAAAATACCTAGATCAAGGTTTGGTCTAGTTCAGTACCAGGGGTTAGTGTTTGGGTCACGATCAGGGTCAAAGGTCAGGAATTTTTTTTTTACTTAAATTTTTTTTAAATTGGTATCAGTGTCAGTGTATTTTAGGTAGGACAAAAAAATCAAAATGTGCACTATTGTTTCTGGGCTGTACTATAGGAACAAACAATAAAAAACATACACATGTGTATGTTATTTGTATCGCTGCGATCGTCAAGAGCTGGAGAATTTATTTTGGGTTGTTCTTTGGTGGATGGTTATGTTAGTAACAAGAAATACACAGCTAAATAAGAAACAAATTTTTTTTTTTTTACTTTTTGGGCCTGTTTTCCTTTGATAATAAGAATAAAATCAGGAGATATCCATGACTATTTACCACCATAGCAGTTGTGATGATACGTACAGTTTTACAAACACATGTCAAATTTGTAAAATTATTCTTGGGCAGTAAGATTTGTTTTACCCTTAGGCGTGAAGGGGTTAAAGGATAAGTTCAACTTTGGAAAATATTAAATGTACATTTTTTACAGGTAAAATTAATGTGCATTTGTTTTTTTTTTCTCAGGAGACAGGACAGCATTGCACTCACGATCAGCAAATCGTGGGTGCAATCTCAGGCTCCTGCAGACTCTCAGGATTGCTGTCTGACTGTAACTCATATGAGCAGGCAGTTACCTGAGAGCAGGAAAATCAATGGACTACAAGGGTGTTCACCAGGTCCATCATAGACATTGCTGATGGCTTGTAGTTTTCAGTGAACTGACAATACTTGCAGGCATTCTCTTACTGTGAATGAATGGCAGGGCCAAGTGGGTGGAGCCACACTATTTTCACATTGTGACAGCGGGTGCGGGGAGAAAAACCCCTACCCTGTCACAGGGAGGGGGGGATTGAGGGGGGAGACTGCAGATACTGAAAGATGTTATATGTTCCACCCTAAAAATGGGTGGAATGTGTAACATATTCCTAAGGGGAATATGTTCTTTAAAGTAGTTGTAAACCTCAAACCTCAAACATGAAATATGAACAAAGCATATCCCTCTATAGTGTTTATTTGTTTCTAGCCAGAGAATTAAATGTTATTTCTGTCTGCTGCCCTGTTCTTCTGAAATCAGCATATGTCACTTCTGACAAACTTTCCTAACACCAAGAGAAAAAAGGTGACAGAAGAGGGAGCTTGAGCTTTTTGATAGCCTCAGCTCGGTTTCTGTGCTGTGTGAAGGGGGTATGTTTCCGTTCCCCCCAATCAGCTCTCAGAGTTCTCCTCAGTGAGCTCTGCAGAGTGTAATTTCAGCTCTTCATCCCCTTTTTCTGACAGCTCAGACAAGCTTTATAAATTCTAGAATTCAAATAGATGTACAGAAGAGAAGACTGCAAATAAACAGGTACAACGTACAAAGGAGGATTTGTTTCATCTCTGTGTATCAGCTGAGGCCAGTCACTCCACTGGGTATATGTAAGAGTTTACAACCACTTTAAAGTAACACTAATGCAGGCCATAGATGGGGAGAAAAACTGCAGATTTTTTCTTTAAAAAAACAAAAAATCGGTTGTTCAAGTGGCCGACGTTACCATCAATGGTAAAAAAAAAATCGGCCGATTTTCTACCCGTCTAGAGCCGGCAAAAAGTGTCCCTGCAGAGAGCTCTGCTATTTCTTTGACAGTTCTCTGACAGTTCCTTGACATTTATAGAAGTTGCAACAATGTATCTATTTGTTTCCATTTAGGATACAGATGTTTTTATTCGGAAACAAATAGATACAATGTTTCAACCGCTGTAAATGTCAAGGAACTGTCAGAGAACTGTCAGAAATAGCGGAGCTCTCTGCAGAGACACTTTTTGCTGGACTGGAATTCTTCTTATTTTCATCCTACTTCTTCTTCTTCTTCTTCTTCATCCTCATCCTCTTCTTCTTCATCCTCATCCTCTTCTTCATCCTCATCTTCTTCTTCTTCTTCATCCTCATCCTCTTCTTCATCATCCTCATCCTCTTCTTCTTCTTCATCCTCTTCTTCTTCTGCATCCTCTATTCTTCTTCTTCTTCATCATCATCCTCATCCTCTTCTTCTTCATCATCCTCTTCTTCTTCTTCATCCTCATCCTCTTCTTCTTCTGCATCCTCATCCTATTCTTCTTCTTCATCATCATCCTCATCCTCTTCTTCATCCTCATCCTCTTCTTCTTCACCCTCATCCTCTTCTTCTTCATCATCATCATCCTCATCCTCTTCTTCATCCTCATCTTCATCTTCTTCTTCTTCTTCATCCTCATCCTCTTCTTCTTCCTCATCCTCTTCTTCTTCCTCATCCTCTTCTTCTTCATCCTCTTCTTCTTCCTCTTCTTCTTCTTCATCCTCTTCTTCATCGTCTTCCTCTTCTTCTTTTTCTTCTTTTTGTCTTCCTCTTGCAGGTCATGCTCATGCGCAGATTTTTTATCGGAAAAAAATCGGCCGATTTGCCCACTAATTGCCGCGAAAATCGGCCGATCGGCAAAATCGGCCGAATTTTTTCCAACTTTCCCGAAAAAAAAAACGGCCAAAATACCGAAAAACGGCCGACCAAATCGCCCATTAACGATCCGAAAATCGGCCGATTTTATTTTCGGCCGAAAAATCGGCCGATTTTCGACCCATCTATGGCCTGCATAAGCTTTGGTTTAAAAAGAAAAAAAAAACATTCAAGTATGTATTTTTAATTTTAAAAAGTACCTCTCAGCCTTCAGGTTCAGAACAAGGAGGCAGAAAAACACAATAAGAAACAATTTCAGAAAAAATAGATTGCAGGATCATTAAGTAGTAGATGTGTATAAATTATGTTTGGAAAATAAGGATATCATTTATTGTAACTTTAAGTATAAATCTGAAGTCATACAAGTATAGATCCCTTTCACACAGATGACTCCGCCTGCAATCTGCTTGCTGAAACAAGGGATCTGTCTGCTAATCCCCGCTCAGCAGGCAGATGACAAGTCAGTGTCTGCTCTGACTACGTGGAGTGGACACGGACACAGTCCACTTCCTCTATGGGCGGTCGGATGTAAATGGACCTCTTGTTCGTTTACACCCGACTGCCATCCGACCCAGCCAGATGGAGAGGAACGGATCCCTATCTATTTGTTTTAGCGGATTGCAATGGATGTAGGTGGGTGTAAATGGATACTTACTGTATCAGTTTACAACCGCAGCTCCTGAGAGGTGAATGGAGGTTCTGATCAGGTGAATTCATGGTCAATTTTTATTTATTGTGTTAGGATATTATCAGTGTACAGCGCACTCATTTTTATTTATACTTTATAATTATACACCGGTCATCTTATTAGGTACATCTGTTCAATTGCTCGGTAACAGCTAAACAGCCAATCTAATGACAGCAACTCAGTGCATTTAGCCATGTAAATGTGGTGAAGAAGACTTGCTGAAGTTCAAACCAAGCATCAGAATGGAGAAGAAAGGGGATTTAAATGAACGTGACATGGTTGTTGGCGGCAGTCCAGCTGGTCTGGAAGTATTTCAAAAACTGCTGATATACTGGGATTTCCACGCACAAACATCTCTAGGGTTTACAGAGAATGGTCAAGCTGGTTACTGAGACATTCAGATGGTAGGGTCAGAATTTGGCATAAACAACATGAAAGCATGGATCCATCCTTCCATGTATCAATGGTTCAGGCTGGTGGTGGTGGTGTAATGGTGTGGGGGATATTTCCTGGCACTAGCAAGGTGTACCTAATGAAAGCATAAATCCATCCTGCCTTGTATCAATGGTTCAGGCTGGGGGTGGTGGTGTAATGGTGTGGGGGATATTTCCCTGGCACTAGCAAGGTGTACCTAATGAAAGCATAGATCCATCCTGCCATGTATCTACGGTTCAGGCTGGTGGTGGTGGTGGTATAATGGTGTGGGGGATATTTGCCTGGCACTAGCAAGGTGTACCTAATGAAAGCATAGATCCATCCTGCCATGTATCTACGGTTCAGGCTGGTGGTGGTGGTGTAATGGTGTAGGGGATATTTCCCTTGCACTAACAAGGTGTACCTAATGAAAGCATAGATCCATCCTGCCATGTATCTACGGTTCAGGCTGGTGGTGTAATGGTGTGGGGGATATTTCCCTGGCACTAACAAGGTGTACCTAATGAAAACATAGATCCATCCTGCCATGTATCTACGGTTCAGGCTGGTGGTGGTGGGGTAATGGTGTGGGGAATATTTCCCTGGCACTAACAAGGTGTACCTAATGAAAGCATAGATCCATCCTGCCATGTATCTACGGTTCAGGCTGGTGGTGTAATGGTGTGGGGAATATTTCCCTGGCACTAGCAAGGTGTACCTAATGAAAGCATAGATCCATCCTGCCATGTATCTACGGTTCAGGCTGGTGGTGTAATGGTGTGGGGAATATTTCCCTGGCACTAGCAAGGTGTACCTAATGAAAGCATAGATCCATCCTGCCATGTATCTACGGTTCAGGCTGGTGGTGGTGGTGTAATGGTGTGGGGGATATTTCCCTGGCACTAACAAGGTGTACCTAATGAAAGCATAGATCCATCCTGCCATGTATTTACGGTTCAGGCTGGTGGTGGTGGTGGGGTAATGGTGTGGGGAATATTTCCCTGGCACTAACAAGGTGTACCTAATGAAAGCATAGATCCATCCTGCCATGTATCTATGGTTCAGGCTGGTGGTGGTGGTGTAATGGTGTGGGGGATATTTCTCTGGCACTAATAAGGTGTACCTAATGAAAGCATGGATCCATCCTGCCATGTATCTATGGTTCAGGCTGGTGGTGTAATGGTGTGGGGAATATTTCCCTGGCACTAGCAAGGTGTACCTAATGAAAGCATAGATCCATCCTACCATGTATCTATGGTTCAGGCTGGTGGTGGTGGTGTAATGGTGTGGGGGATATTTCTCTGGCACTAGCAAGCTGTACCTAATGAAAGCATGGATCCATCCTGCCATGTATTTACGGTTCAGGCTGGTGGTGGTGGTGTAATGGTGTGGGGGATATTTCTCTGGCACTAGCAAGCTGTACCTAATGAAAGCATGGATCCATCCTGCCATGTATTTACGGTTCAGGCTGGTTGTGGTGGTGTAATGGGGGGGGGGGGGGGGGGATATTTTCCTGGCACTAGCAAGTTGTGCCTAATAAAGTGAGTGTAATTGGTATTGGGAAACAATGCACCTACTTTTCCTGAACTGCTGCTTCTAACTTAAGGAAAAAATGCTATTATTTTATGCACTCGAAGAAGCCTGTTATCACTTAACAAGAAGCATTTGTTATGCTCATTAAAGCCTAGAAATAAGGAACAAATCACTCTCAAGCTAGCACCAGTTTAATGTTCACGACCAAATCTAAATGCAGTAAAAAGCAAAGTGATATATTTAAACTGACACTTTGGCAATTATGAATGTCATACACTAACATATATGTCCTATCAACCCGTCCAATAAGGGAACACTTTTATTCATATAAGGTCAAAGGCAAATAAAGTGCTGGGCAATGTTCAGTTAATGAACTCCCTATTACTGTCAGAGCCAAATGACCGCCAACAACCATACTGTAACAAGACAGCTCCTTTACCTCGTATGATAACAAATTAGAATTTTAAGTTCTTCAACAAGCACAGTCAACATTAGTGACATTTGTAATGTAAGACCAATACTTCATTTGTGAATGGGTACTGAAAAGTTAAATTTCCCATTGGATTTCTAAATATCTCCAGGACTCCAATATGTGGTTGTCTCTATTATTCAAGCCCATGACAATTCTGTCACTTTCTTAAAGATAAGCACCTCAGCTTTTAGGGAAGTATGGCATGACCCCATCTTAAGTAAACCAATGGTTAGGCCAGGGGCAGACTGACCATTCGGGCACTCAGGCACTGCCCGAGGGCTTGGGGTCAGTAGGGGGCCCCATGAGATGCCCCTGGTACCTTTCATAGGCTTTTTTGGGTGTGGTTTGAAGTGTGGGCGAGGACACAGTGGCCCCATGATCCCCTATTGCCTGGGAGCCCCATGAGTTGTCAGTCCACCCTGGGTTAGGCTATTAACATTTAATGGTTTTTAAGAGTACAGTGAGTTTTAAATGGCTCTTCACGATTATAGAAGCTTATTTCAACTATTTAAGACCTTTTATTGTGCCAAAAATGACTCCTCATTTGACTTATTATTTTAGACTTCACTTACCGCCCTAGAAAAAAACTCCTGTAGAGATTAAAAGGCTGTTGAGTCTTTGCTGGGAGGAGGAGCAGAGTGAAATGAGCATCCGAGGAAAACAACTTGAATTACTTCAGTACTTCTTTTGTGAACATTAAGGATGAATTTCTCCACTGTGCATGCACTTACAGAGGTCAACCAAAGCTTATTTTAAAGTAAATGTAACATCAGCTAATAAAAATCACAATAAGACACAGAATAATCTAATAGTGTAGCAAATAATGTAGCATTATTATAAAAAAAGTGCTTAATACCATTTGTTTTTAACTTTTATTCAGTGGTCACATGACCATAGCCTCTTTCCATCCCTCTTCCCCAGTGTATGGTATGGTTGCATTGTTGGACAATGGCATGATGTATAGGGAAGCTGGAAAATACATTCCTATCTTTCTTGTCTGCTTTCCACTTTAGGCCTCATGCACACTGAGAATTTAGACATGGCGCATGATACTTCAGCATTTAGAACTGCTTGAGTTTTGGACTGCTTGAGTTCCAGGCATTCCTCCCTGTGTGTTAAATGCCATATGCCTTAGTACTGCTCAGTGTACCATCCATCCCTGTCCAACCCCAACAACTGTCAGCCACTTAGGGCTGGTTCACACCATGCCTGCACAGGAATTCACAAGATTCACACGTGGGTCTGTGTGGTGCAATTTCAGCACATTCATTTTAAATGGCTAAAACCAAAAATAGTGCATGTACTACTTTTAGAAACACACTGCAACCAGATTGCATGGTACACACTGCAACCATACTGAGTTTGCGACCTGGTTTTGGGGTGTCATTAACTCATTATTGCCACTGCGTTTTGAACGTGTTGTGTGAATTGCACAGGCATGCACAGTGTGTTCATTTGCAGGCATGGTGTGAATCGCCCCTTAGAGTTTTACAGGCTGCTGGACAGTGTGCCTGTGCCTTCCAACAGCTCCTAAATTCCAGAGTTTCATGCAGTGAGGCTAAACCCCTGTGTGCATGAGACCATAGGCTATTGCGGCCAAATGCCGACTATGATTGCTACTGCTGCCCTGCAGCTGTCACACCCTGAAGCAACTACTGGGGAAGCATAGGATCACAGCAAAGCTTCTGCTAGGTGACCCTTATCAAGCAGAGCAGTACTGGCTGATGCTGTGCATCAAAATGGCATCCTGTAGCTCATGATCTACTTCTGTGCATAGCATTGTCAGAATGTTTCAGGAAGGGAAGGAGACAGGATCACCAGGTCTTGTAATCTGTACAGTCTGGAATATAGTTGTGCTTTGCTGCAGGTGTGTATTTATCCAAGTACAATGTACCTGTATTTTTAAGGAGCATCAAACAGCTGTGTATAATGATTTAATCACAGACTAGTTATCCCA